CCATCAGCATGGCCCATTTCTTTTCCAGGTTTATGAATTAGAGTGTAGTCATATGCTGNTGGAGAAATAATATGTGGTGTCTGTTTGTTAGTGGTAAACAAACCCAGCAGAGGCTTATGGTCTGTGTAGATCATGAAATGGCGGCCATATAAGAAATCATGGAATTTCTTTACGCCAGCCACTATGGCCATGGCTTCTCTGTCAATCTGAGCGTAATTCCGCTCTGCAGATGACAGAGTCCTTGAGTAGTAGACCACAGGGATTTGTGTCCCATCAGCCTTCAGATGGTTAAGTACTGCTCCCACCCCATAAGGAGATGCATCGCATGCGATGCATACAGGCAATTACTCATTGAAATGCGCTAATACAGCATTTGAAGAGAGCAAGGCCTTAATGTCATTGAAACTCCTTTCATGGACTTTAGTCCACTGCCATGGAGCCTGCTTGTCTAAGAGCCAATGTAACGGCTCTGCCACTGCAGCCTTATGTGGAAGGAATGCATGATAGAAATTTAAGAGCCCCAAGAAAGCTTGCAGCTCACTTTTGGACTTGGGCTTGGGGCCTGCTGAATCACTTGAAGCTTGGATTCAGCAGGGTGAATGCCTTGGGCATCAATCCTGAACCCTAAGAAGTCAGTAGAAGTGACTCCTATCTTGCATTTATCCTGCTTCAATTTAAGGCCTGCTTTGCAGAAACGAAGCACGATAGCCCTTAACTTTTCTGCTAAATTTTGAGATGACTCCCCAGCAATGAGGACGTCATCGAAGTAGGGACAGACCCCAGGAATACCTTGAAGTGTGCGCTCCATGACACTTTGAAATATGCCAGGGGCTACATTTACCCCAAATTGCAGTCTTTTGACCTTGAAGGCCCCCCTGTGAGTTACAATCGTCTGGGCCTCTGCAGATGCCTCATCAACAGGTAGCTGTTGATAGACCTGTGCCAGATCAAGTTTTGCAAAAATGCACCCCCCCTTGAGGGATGCCAGAATGTGGCTTACAACAGGCACTGGATATGCGTGCTGTTGCAACACTTTATTCAGTGTGCACTTATAGTCTGCACATATGCGGACTTCCCCATTAGCCTTTAGAGGCATTATTATGGGGGTTTCCCATGGACTAGAATCCACAGGTTCTAAAATGCCCTGCTGGAGCAATTTGTCCAGCTCAGCATCTATCTTACTTTTGAGGGCAAAAGGCACCCTTCTAGGCTTGACCCTGATGGGCGTGATAGTTGGGTCTAACCGTAGTGCAATGGGAGGCCCCTTGTAGGATCCTAGCTCTGAACTAAACACATCAGCAAACTCCTTGCAAACATCTGCAAGGCCCAACGTTTGCAAGTTGTGCAGCCCCGTTACTTGGATTCCCAGAGCCTCGAACCAATCAAGTCCAATAAGACTCATACATTCACCCCCAACTACCACCACATCCAGGTACCCCTCAAAGTCCTTTTGCTGCACTTTGAGTGTGGCCTCTCCCTTTACACTGACTTTAGAATTCTGAAAATCAGTGAGTATTAGATTCGATGGCCTGAGTTTAACTCAAAGGCCACTACTGCTGCAAATCCTTTTGAAGGTGTCAAGTGAAATGATTGATAGAGCAGACCCTGTGTCCAACTCCATCAATAAGGGAACCCCTTGCAACTTCACGTCAATGCAAAGTTTTTTCTTAAGGGGCTTGTGTGTCCCTGTTCTCAGAATACTCCTGCGCGATGCGCAGAAACCCACCCTGTGTTGGCTGGGGACCCTGGTACCTTTCTGAAGCAATTCTTCCCAAGGTTGGACCTTCTGGCGACCCAAACAGACGGAGGCAATGTGGCCTTGCCTGCCACATGCCCGGCAAATGGCGGAGCGAAACCTGCAGTCAGCTCGCTTGTGGCGTCCACCGCACCCAAAGCACTGAAGAGATGCAGGGGCCTTGTCCAGATGCCCCTTTGGCCTCCTCTCAGCTGGCTGGTGAAGTCTGTCCACCTCCTCTTCAGGATCCGCTTCTGATTTTTGTCAAGCGTCCTCTTGATGGACGGTAGTGGTGGCTGGAGGGTTCCTGGCGAACCACAAAGCCTTCACAGCACCGCCTGCTGCTTCTTCAGCTGCCACCTCTCTTAACGCGTCTTGGAACGAGACCTCTTCTTTTGCAAAGATCTTTTGTTGTAGGTCTCTACTTCTTAAGCCACACATGAAGCAATCGCGCAGCCTTTCTTCCAGATCCTTAAACTCACAAGGCCTGGCCTCTTGTCTTAAGGCAGCAATAAAGTCCGCAGCAGATTCACCCGGCCTCTAGTCCCTCTGCTCAAACGCGTGCCTCCAAGCGATGACAGATAATTTAGGCTGAAAATGTTCCTTCAACGTCTTCTTCAAGTCAGCGTATGTCACTGACTCCAGAAGTGCAGGGGCCACCAGATTTTCCGCGATGTCAAAAGCTTCTTGTCCACAGGCACACAGAAGAGTTGCTGCCTTCAGGCCGTCTTCTCTTATTTAATTTACTCTAAAGTAGTTCTCCACCCGTGCTACGTATGAATTCCATCTCTCTGGGTGGGAGACATCAAAATCAGTCAAGCGGCCAATCTTCGACATCGTAAACTTTACGACCTTTGCTAATTGCCTCCTCTGCAAGCTAACGTTTGGGAAAGGGTTCTTTTGCCGAGCTCACCTCCAGCGACGCTGTACTGGCAGGCTGAGTCGCGAATGCAGGATGCCCTCCTCCCGGTCGTCTGGACTTCCTTGGGGAGTCCTAATTCTTTTTCTTGCTTGCAGGGATCCCACCTTCATCACCAGTGTTGTGTTTTCGGTTCGTTGGCAATTGACGAAGACACGTGGTGAAAACAACAAGCTCTTTATTTCTCTCTCCTACAACCAAGCTAACTGCAAAAGGCACACATGCCTTTTATAGGGCAAGAAACTCGGACAGTGTGAACCAATAGGAATTGACCCTTTTTGCGCCTTGCGCATGCGCACAAGGCTGGTGCCACCCTGTCTAGTCCCGGGCAGCTTTTGGATTGCCCGGGACCATTTGCAACAATCCTGAGCCTGCTTTCAGCTCTTGCAGGCTCAGGACACAACAGGCATGTTAAATGGGCAGGTTAAATGGTTCACTTAGCTATCAAGCTACTCCAAATAACTTAAAATAGAAAGCCCTGCAGGCGTGGGCTCTTTCAGGACCATAGCTCTCTAGGTTGTTGTTTGACAAGTCCTGAACTTCTTTACACTATTAACAAGATTCAGGTTCCTCCAGAATCCCACCTGACAACCTTCTGTATAATCTCCTTGGTTAATTAACTGCAGGGCAAATGCATATTCTACCACCAAAGTTCATACACTTTTTACAGAATCAGAAATGCTATTCCATTCCAGGCTTTATATTTACATTAACGGAAAGGATGGTGTTTTTTTTATTAACAGATATGCTCATTTACTGTACTTCATGCTGTTGGTGGGGTGAGGAGAATAGTTTAACAAACTCGAGACATTCATTCCCAAACAAATTTCAGCAAATTAAGCAGGTGTTTCTACTTTAGCAGTATGAGTACGTAGTTAAGCAGTAGAAATGGTATACTTTGGATTTAACATTTCATATAAGTTGTCCACTTTCTCAGCCTAGCGTCAATAAAAGGCACTACAGTGTCTGGAAGTGTATTGGAAATAAAGGCCTGATATCATCCACATGCTAGATTTATAGGACTGTTTTTCCAAAATCTCAAGCCTTACCAAGTTGCAGGTAATTTCAGGAGTTCTTTTGTTTCTTTAGTGAGGAATGTCAGAGATTCAAATCTACATGATTCAGAAAATAGGAACAAATGAGTTAGGAGATCTTATTTCTGTTTGCAATATAGGATACTTGAGTTGAAAATAAATGCAGATAGTTCTCAACTTATAACCATTTCTTTAGTGACCATTCAAAGTTTAATAGCATATAAAAAAACTTACAACCAGTCCTCACTCTTAAAACCATTGCAGCATCCCCATGGTCATATTTTCAAAATTCAGGACATGCAACTGCATGTATTTATGATGGTTGCAGCACCTTAGAGTCATGTGATTGTCATTTGCAACCCCAGCTGGCATCCAACAAACAAAGTCAATAGATTCAAAGTTAAGTGAATCTGTTAAGTCAGATTCACTTAACAACCACACAATTCACTTAACTGCAGTGATTCATTTAACAATTGTGCCAAAAAGGTCATAAAAGTGAGAATGGCTCACTTATCAACTGCTTTGCTTAGCACTGGAAATTGTGTCCCAATTTTTGTTGTAAGTATAAGAATAGTTGCACTGGATTAGACACAGGGTTTATTTAATATGTCATTCTATTCCCAGTGTCTCAGTGAAAAGATCTCAAGCTAGATATGACAAAAAAAGTTGCTTTTATTGTTGGGAGAATTGTACTCTTGTCAGGTTGCTAAAGAAGGAGAGCATTAGAAAAGATTGAGGTGGTCTTTATGTTCTATTACTCTTCCATTTCAAATGTAGTTCAATATTGCCTCAGTAGATTTATCTGAAACATAGTTGCAGTGAAAATAATCTACTAATTCAATTGGACTTAAATTCAATTGGAATTAAAACGTCCATTTGTATCACACTGATTATGCAGTATGGTACCCACTTTTGTTAATATACCAGACATAGCTGGAAAAAAACCCCTCCAGAAAAAGACATTTCCAAGGACAAAGATTTATTTTATTGTCAAATTATTCCTTTTGTTCTGAGGTCAAGAATTAAAGCAAAAAGTCAGAGAGCTTTTTAAGCTGCTTTGAAGACATCCAATTGGGGGAACTGCCAATCACAGTAGAGCACTATTATCCAAGAAGCAGAGCCTGATGGCAATTAAGATTTCTTATTATAAAAAAAAATGAAAGAAAACTGGTTGTGGTTATTTTGGATCACCCCACTCTGGATAATAATAAATACTTTCTTAGAACTTAGGCTCCTATGATGTTGAGCTATGGTCAAATGTTAAAGCTCATTTTTGTTTCCACAGAAGTAACAGTTTTCTTCTTTGCTCTAGGTTGGGAGACTGAGAAAACTGGCCCAGCAGATAGCTAATTGCAAGCAGTGTATTGAACGCTCCACCTCTCTTATCTCACAGGCTGAGCAATCTTTGAAGGAGAATGATCATGCACGCTTTCTGCAGTCAGCTAAAAACATAACTGAAAGGTAATGCCATAAACAGGACTGAAGAGTCTTGAGAATTAGATAACCTGACTAACCATTTTCTTTGTAATATGACAATTAGATGTTTCAAGGAGAAATCAAATCTTTGTGATGCTCAAAAAACCAGACATTTAAAAAATATATATAAAGCAGGTATAAAACATCAACATATTCAACAACTGGTATACCAAGGCAAAATGTCAAAGGCAGATTAAGAAATATTATTCTAGAAAAATGTTAGAATACTTCCATATAATTGCGTAGTATGGTGGCTCAGCAGTTAAGATCCTGGGTTTGTCAGCTGGAAAGCCAGCAATCGGTTTAAGACACAGGCTCCACACAATGGGGTGAAGTCCTATCCTCACTCCAGCTCCTGCCAACCTAGCAGTTCGAAACTAAGCAAGTGTAAGTAGATAAATAGGTACCACTTCAGTGGGAAAGTAACAGCACTCCGTATCATCATGCTAACTGCAGAAATGTCTTCGGACAGTGCTGGCTCAATGGCCTCGAAACAGAGATGAACACCGCTTTCTATAGTCAGCAACAACTAGTGGAGTAAAATTCACAGGGACTCCTTTACCTTTATCTTTTCTTGCATATTTTCATACTATTCTGCTGGCCTTCCCATTGACTGGGCTTGTGGGAACCTGGCAGGGAGTGTCAGAAATCATGATCAGAGGGATGTTGCAACTGCTACAATTTTGTAAATAAAACTGACCTGAACATTGAAAATTTCAATTCCACAGGACTAATGGGCCCTGGATTCTCACTATTTTTTTTGCCTGCCTGTGATCTTTCTGTTTATCTGCTTAAATAACAAAATATTGACTCATTATTGAAGTTAGTTCAATAACTAACTAAAATGCAATCAGTTCTCATGAAATTCAGTCTTGAGATTTCAAAATCAGATGACAATTCTTTTACCTTGGAAAAGAGATTGTTCTGAGGCATATGAAGCTTTTTAACATAGCACATTTCATGAATGGCAAATTAGCAAAAGATAATGAAAATGTATAACACCTAAGTATATCAGTCACTTTTGGGAGAAATTACAGTAAAATAACATTGTTCATGGATTCCATTATAAAATCCCAAACTCAATTCCCAGCAGCTACAAACAAGCAGGCAGTACATCATGGTGTTAGGTAGCTTTCTACATTCTAGTTGACATGTTGCTGATCAGGGATATGAAAATTACATTAAATACATGTTACACAGCACTTCTTAACTTATTTTAAAAGTATTTGCCTTATGTATCCTCACCATGTAAAATAATTTTCAAAACTGAACTCAAGCTTGTTTTTTTATCTTGTAGGGTTGCCATGGCAACTGCATCTTCCCAGGTTTTAATTCCTGAAATTAATCTTAATGACACTTTTGATACATTTGCGCTGGATTTTACAAGAGAAAAGAAACTGCTGGAATGCCTTGATTATCTAACTGGTAAGAATTGAAATATATATAAGAACATGCATACCATTTTAACATAGAAAAGAATGCATGTAGTAACATTCATTGGATAAAAAGAGATTATTGTGATTCAGGGAAAATAGCATTTTAATTAATGATTTTATAATATTTTTACCATTTTTTGCAAATGTGTAGATGGGATATAACCACTCATTCCTTCCCAGTTCCCAGATTTGTATTTGTAATATCATTTTAACTATGTTCACATAGGTTCATACGACAAAGAGATGTTTAGATAATGTTCTGATTTAATAGGATTTATAAGGATCAATCAGTGATTGCAACATATTCTGCAGTCTGTTTTGACCTCATGAGAAAATAGTTCTGAAATCTGGGATCTCACTATTGAGCCAGCATTAACTAACCTCATTGCAGTCCAAAATAAGTTTGTATTTTATTACAAATTCAACCTGAAGGCATTCAATGTGAATATTCTCCTCAAACTGTTACCATGTCAGAATACTGTAGTTAGAAGTAATATCAGTCTTTGGGATGGGATCTGAAGAAGATACAGAAGCAGGATTTGGGAGGTATGCCAAAGCAGTGTGGTTCAATGACATATGAACAGCAAGAGCCATTCTGTATGGAAACTCCATACTATAAAGAACTGTATCTCTGAGTTAATGGATTATAGAAAGAATCTTCTTGCTAATATTCTTTCATAAGTTCATGCAATGATATGCAACATGTTTTTCTTGTTTTCATACTTTTGTGATAAATAGGCAAATGAATGTCTGAGAACTGTAACAAGTCATTTAAACCTTTTTCAGCTCCAAATCCACCAACAATTAGAGAAGAGCTTTGCACGGCTTCTTATGACACAATCACAGTTCACTGGACTTCAGATGATGAATTCAGTGTGGTCTCCTATGAGCTGCAATATACTATCTTCACTGGACAAGCTAATGTAGTTAGTAAGTACAAAGCATTTTGCATCCAGTTTAATTTTGACTTCCACTAAATCATTTTCCAACACATAAAAAAACAAGCAAAATAAAGATAGAGAAATGTACTTCACATTCTCATTTAGAATCTAAGGCCATAAAAATAAAGCATTGAATATGAGCAACAAAACATTCTATTATCTAAGAGATTTATGGTGAGCTTTCAGGATTTTCACAAAAAAATATTTAAATGGAAACACAGCTCAGAGGCTAAATGTATAATTGTCAACAATCCGACTAGTGGACCCAACAAAAGAATTCCTCAAGGCAATTGAGTCCCATAAGGTAAAGCTTTATTGGATACACCATCTTGGAACTGCAGAAGCAAAACCAGCTCTGAATTTTCCCACGTTAAAACTTGCTTATTTAAACAACTGATTCTCGTGTCCCCCACCCACCAGATGTTTACACTGTTCAATCATAATATTTATTTTTGTTATGGGAACAGTTCACTTCTCCATCGAGCACCTGAGTTAGTGACCTTGGCTTGGTGCAGGCTTTCACAGTCCCTGAATGGTTTCTTGGCATTCCATTCCCTCTCTTCACTTTCTATTCCTCCACCCTCTTTTCTATGGCAAGTTGATTAGTGATAGAAGCTAGCAGGCATCATAGCAATTCAATGTTGACATGCTGACGCCCTGAAAGAAAGGGTAGACCTGGGGAAAAATATTAAACACAAATTATCATCACTAATTCAAATTAACATTCAAATATTCTTTAGGACATTGAGGGTATTTGGCATGGAATTGTCTTATTAATCTGTCTGCACTAACATTATGGGCAGCTACCCATTCATCATCAGCCTTTCTGCTGTACTAAATATTGTAATCTTCCCTTAAAAAATCTTGATTTTTCTTGATCAGTATTTTCTTGATCTCATAGTGCTTCTCAACCCCCACCATAATGGAGGAGGAGGTTTCCTTTCAATTGGTTTTAGGCTAGAGGCTTAAAGTGGTTTTAACAGACTACAATGGAACACCAGGTGGACCTGTTTGAAGACTTTTGGTAACCATAACTCGACTGTAACTGTGTTTATAATCTGAATGATTAGGATAAGATATTTGGTAGATACAGTAGGTACACCTTATCCTCAATACTAAATCTCTTCTGGGGAGCTCTCCTCCAATCAGCCTGCTTCTTGTAAGACTCCCTGGCCTTATTCAGTGCTTTCTGTACATTCCCCCCAAGTGATTTTTAGGTTTTCCATCCATTCAGCTAGCGACGCTGAGGAGGGAGGTTCCCTTGGAAGCTCTTGCATTAGTAAAAACTCTATTCCTATAGCTATTTTAAATGGGTTGAACCCAGTGCTACTATGTACTGAGTTATTATATGCCACTTCTACAAAATGCAGGAGCTCCGCCCAATTGGTTTACTGATAATTTATGTAGCAATGTAAATATTGCTCTATTAATGAGTTGGTCCTTTCAGCTACCCCATTTGTACTCAGATGAAAACCGGAGCTAAGCCCCTGGGAGGAGCCTATTGGCCTTATGAATTCCCGCCGAAATTTTGCGGTGAACTGCACCTCCTGGTCAGAGATTATGCATCTTGGGACTCCGTGCAGCCAATACAAATGTTGCATGAACAATATGGCCAAGCTTTGGGCTGATGGAATCTTCGGCCACACCACAAAGTGCACTTGCTTTGAAAGCAAGTTGATCACAGTCCAAATCTCTGTAATCCTGGAACTTTCAGGTAACTCCACAATAAAGTCCATGGTGATTTCTTCCCATGGACTGTTAGAGTTGGCCACCGGCTGTAATAATCCAGGAGGCAATTATTTCATGGATGCACACACTGGGCATTCTTCTAACATAGCTCTCTATGTCCTTATTCATCTTAGGCCACCAGAACTGCCTTTTGGCCAAATGGAGGGTTTTAATGAACGCAGAATGACCTGCAGGTTTCACATCGTGACTCTGTTGCAGGATCTGAGTTCTTAGATTAGATAGAACTAACAACTTCTTCCCTTTCCACTCATCCTCACCCAGGGCTTCCTTTAATTTATGGGTTAATGCATTATCGGCCAGTTGAGGAATGGCCGACAATCCTAGCCTTGTGGAGCCTTGTGCTACTAGTCGCTGGGCGGAGATGATCGAGTTAACTATTTCTTCCCAGGTATTTTTGTACTGGGGCAAACAGAAGAGAGAATCTGCAAGGAAGTTTTTTTCCCCTGGCAAGTACCAAAGAGGTAAAGTTGAACTGATTGAAGTACTGAGCCCATCGGACCTGCTTAGGGGATAGTTTCCTGCGGGTCTTCAGGCCTCTAAATTCTTGTGGTCCATCCACACTTGAAAGGGGATCTTGCTGCCCTCTAAAAACTGTCTCCAGGTCAGCAATGCCCATGAGACCGCATAAGCCTCCTTTTCCCATATCGCCCAATGCCTTTCAGTGTTGGTCAGCTTCTGGGAGGTGTAGGCACAGAGTTAGAGCTCCCCCCTTTCATTCTTCTGAAATAGGACAGCCTCCACTGCTACATCACTAGGGTCTGTGTTACATTGGGTTTGGGTGCCTGAGGGTCGGTTCTGCCACAAAGAGCCATTTTTGAAAGCCACTTGACATTCCATAGTGCAACTGAGCAACTGACTCATATTGGGTTTCAGCCCTTCCCCTCCCATTTTCACTAGTTCGGTGATGGATGAACTGTCAGTTGTTGACAAAACACAGGAAGCTCTGCAGTTGCTTCCCATTCTAATATTGCTTTCACTTTTCCAGGATCCTTTTCCACTCCCTCGCTAGACACACGATATCCTAATTAAGTAATCCAGACTAGTCTTATGGAATTCACACTTGGATAGTTTAGCCTAAAGCTTAGTTTTCAATAGTTTCCTCAGTACTTCTCTCACTAGCTTCATGGGATCTTCCATTGTCTCAGAGTAGATAATGTCATCCAAGATGACTTCCGGTCCTGCGCAGTAGCGCAGAAGTTGAGGGGTTCGGGGCTCTGTGCCCTTCGGCTGATTTTCTTCCTGTTAGGGAACCCTAACTGGGCCAGAACCTGCCCCGAAGAGGTGGCAAAGAAGGAAGTAAGTCCTGGGGACCATGGAGAGACAGTGGTCAACCTGATCGGTCCAGGAGAAGCCTTCCAGAGACCAACAGGAGAAAGGCTAGCCTAACTTCAGAGTCTAGCCCAAGCTACAAGCAACCGAAGTCAAAAGCACTACTTTAAGCTGATTGTAGACAGCACATTTGAATCTGGGTAAGAACATCGATTTTCTCTATCCTACTTATCAACTTTCCTGAAAGGAAAAAAAAATCCCAAGAACCAAAAAACCTTCGAAAGTGAATAAGTTTGAAATTGCTGAATAGTTGAGATTCTCATTTTAGGCAATTGTTTATTTTGAAAATTGGAAAAATAAACCGGTGCTGACATCTAGTGGTGGATGAAGTCTATGACAGCTTTGACTTTCATACAGGATTTGTCAAAATCTGGAAAAAACTAATTTCTATTTGTGACATTCAAAGCTTTAACAATAGAGAACAGCTGTGACAAAAAAGAAATCAACCTGGGCTGCAGACAAAGAGAGACTTATAATCTTTAGGGAACAAAAAAAACTTTTTTGAACTTTCTGGATTACAAGTATCTACTTAACTGCGACTCCAAAGCTATTTGCAGAGAAAAAAAACTTGGATTCTTGGCCATCATGAAAAATCAGAGACTTATAGAAAGAACTTATCAAGAAAAAATAAATACCTTTCAAGAGGAGACATATGATATGTTGCAACTAATTCAAACAACAATGATTTCAAACCACAAAGAAATCCAAAATAACTTTGAAAATATAAACCAATTCATCTCCAGCTTAACTTTACAACAACAAAAATCCCACAAAACAACAATCGAGAAGGAACCGATAAAACAGATAACTGAATACAAATTTGAGGATCGAGACTTAAAGGTAGAACTTAACAAAACAAAGAAGTATGATTTAATCCAATTGGAAAATATTTTACAAGAAATACTGGATTTGGAAAAGACAACTTATACTTTAACACCACAAAACAAATTTGAGAATAAGAAAAAAGATTGGATACAATGGACTGCAGAGATGTCAGGAAAACCACTAGAACTGAAGAGACAAAAAATGATAAGAGAAACAGAGAGAAAAAGAAAGAAAAAGATATTCAACAAACATGAACGGGCAAATGCCTCTTACAAAGATATTGTATTTGACTTACCTTTTATATCTACAGTAACACAAGAATATGGAAAGATTCTTTGATTCAGCAGAACATATTGATTAAGAAAAATGCTGGACAAAAGAAAAGGCTAAAGTAAAAATTAAGAAAATAGACGATGGGACCTATCAGAGAGAATATTTAAAAAAGAAACACCTCTTTGAATATGGTTAAAGAAATAGAAAAATTTTGGATAAGGATTTTATTTTAAGAGGGAAGAGCCCCTTAAGTAACATAGTACTCTCTTTTTCTTCTTTCTTCTTATTTTATTTCTTGATATGAGGAATATAAAAGAGTTGGAATGGCTTATATAAAGGAAATGTTTTAGATATTTAAATGTGATTGACTTTAAGAAAATTACAATGGATTAAAAATGTTTTGAATAAGAGTTAAAAGACTAGAGGACTAGATTTATTAAATGGAATATTTAAAGATTAAATATATTTTTAATTATGGTAAAAAAGAACAGAATTTTTTTGGAAATATGGATTTTAAGTAGCATACTATCCTTTTATTTTTCTTTATTCTTATTCCTCTTTTTTCTTTTTTTAGCCTTATTTATTCCTTAAGAAAGGTAAAAGTATTGGGATGGCTTACATGAGAAAAATAGACTTAAATATTTAAATGAAATTAACTTTGAGAAAATTTTAACCAGTAAGAATGTTTTGAACATTGTGGGAAAAACAAATGTAAACAAGAACTGTAAACAGGATCTATGATGAGGCAACCAGAATGACTAGATAGAAAACAAATATTATATTGATGTGATTATTATTTGTAGAAATATTAGA